TTTAATTTAATTTATTTGATTTATACTTATTAACTTTTAAAATATTTTTCTATAGTTGAATGGTGGAAGCAATTTGGATATCAAATTCCAAACTTGCAGAAGTTTGCTATCAAAGTACTAAGCCTAACTTGTACTGCATCTGGATGCGAGAGAAATTGGAGCGTATTTGAGCATGCAAGAACTAGATTTATTATATTAATATATTCTATATTGTATTATTATTAGTATCTATTAATTAATCTAAATAACTTATGCGCAGATTCACTCCAAGAAAAGGAATAGGCTTGAGCTAGTGTATATTAAATACAATAGAACATTGAGGCGACGTTATGAAGCTCGCGATACCATTGATCCAATTTGTTGGACAGCATTGACGAGGCAAATGAATGGTCAATTGGAGCCCCCCAAAATCATGAAGATGAACAAGTGTATGAAGGAGATGATCTTGATTGGGGTACTGTTTCTATGGCAGATGGAGTTGAGGAGAATATCTATGGTCTTAAAGGGAGTTCTTCAAGTTATAAGGGAAAGGGAGTAGCAAGTTCAAGCCGGTCCCTAATTTATAAAGACTCAGAGGATGAAGAAGATGAAAGCCAATATAATGCTAACATTCATGAAGTTGTAGGATTTGAAAATCTTGAAGAAGAATAGATGTTGCTTGTTTTAGATTTTAGACTATTAGACTTTAGTTTATGAATCTTCTATGAGTCTATGACTATCTATTGAGTCTTTAATTTTTGAATGATATATTTATTAATATATTATTTTTATTGAGTTTTTAGTTATATGTATATAATATTTTATGCTTTTGTATAAATTGTCGCTTCACATCAAAAAGGTGAGCGCTTCGCTGCGTGCCTCTCGCCTCAATGAAGCAGGCCCTCGTCGCTATTTGTCGCCGCACACTATCCAAAACACTGCTATATTCTGCCTCTGCACTTGATCTAGCAACTACAATTTGCTTCTATCATTGCCTCTGCACTTGATCTAGCAACTACAATTTGCTTCTTGCTTCTCCAAGTAACCAAGTTTCCTCCAACGAGTGTACAATAATCGGATGTAGATCTTCTATCATCTAGAGATCCTTCCCAATTCGCGTCCGTAAAGGCTTCTATTTGGAGGTGATCATGTTTGGAGAAAAGTAGACCTTTCCAGACTTCAGATACCGCAAAATGTGAAAGACAACTTGCATATGAGGATCTAGGGAATCATGTATGAACCGACTTACCAAGCTACCTGAATAGGCTATGTCTGGTCTAGTGTGGAAGAGATAAATGAGTCTTCCAACCAACCTCTGATATCTCTCCTTATCAATTGACTATCCAACTCTGCTTTGTAACTTGTGATTGTTTTCAAAGGGCAATTGATAAGGAGAGACATCAGAGGTTGGTTGGAAGACTCCAACTCCGCTTTGTAACTTGTGATTGTTTTCAAAGGGCAATTCTGCGGGTCTACAACCTGTCATACCAGTTTCTTTCAAGAGATCCAAAATACACTTCCTTTGGGAAATAAGTATTCCTCTTTTGGATCTAGCAACCTCAATTCCATGCAATTTTCCTAGATCTTTGATCTCAAATTCATGTGCCAACAACTTCTTCAATCGGGCCATCTCCTCTTTGTCATCTCCTGTTATTACTATGTCATTAACATAAACTATGAGAAGAAGGAGTTTACCCGTTTGATGTCTTATGAAGAGGGTGTGATCAACATTACTTTTTTGGTAACGAAGGTCATTGCTTTGTTGAATCTGTCAAACCAAGCTCCGGGGGATTGCTTCAGTCCGTACAGGGCTTTCTTCAATCTGAATATATTTCCTTGACTCTGTGAAGTATCAAATCCAGGAAGAATCTCCATATATACCTCCTCTTCTAAGTCTCCATGAAGAAACGCATCTTTCACATCAAATTGTGGCAAGTGCCAATCAAGATTAGCTGCACAAAACAAAAAAATTCTAATAGTGTTCATCTTAGCAACAAGGAAAATTGTCTCTTGATAATCTACTCCATAAGTTTGAGTGAATCCCTTAGCCCCTAATCTTGTTGTGATTCTTTCAATTGAGCCATCAACTTTGTGATTCACATTGAAGACCAATTTGCATCCAACCAACTTCTTATCTGGTGGTGAAGTGATAAGTTCTCAAGTCTCATTTTTTGACAAGGCCTTTATTTCTTCAATTATAGCTTGCTTCCATCTAGAATCTGCAATAGCTTCCCTTCAATTCTGGGGAATAGACACAGAAGAAATAGACAAGGCAAAGGCTCTATAGAAGGGAGACAAAGAATTATCGGAGACAAAATTAGATAAAGAGTATTTGGTGTTCAAAATCTGACTCCTTTTCTACGGGCAATAGGCACATCTAACTCATCAGGAGATGTAGATAACTCACCAGTAGAAGAAGGTGTAGCTTCGGTAGATTGCATGATGGCTTCTTCTGCTCTATTTCTCCTTGAGTAAGTTTTCAAAACGGGCATATCCAAATGCTCAATAGCCTCCCCCTGAATTCTTTCTCCAACTTTACTTTCCCATGAGACAATGTTATTGAGAGGTCCAGTAAAGAAACTAGGTAGAATCACATCTTCCTACTTACTGCTCTCCTCCTGAAGAGGTGATGAGGTAATCCGTAATACTAAAATAGGGCTCAGATTCTCGAAAGATAATATCCATGCTAACAAAATATCTCCTAGAGGGAGGATGATAATATTTACCTTTCTGTGTTGGAGAAGACCCAAGGAAAACACACTTTATAGCTCTAGGATCAAGTTTCCTAAAATTCCTATTGTGGACAAAGCAAACACATCCAAACACCTTTTGAGGAACAGTACCTTTTAAAGCTTCCATGGAACTATGAAAATTGAGGGGTTTAAGTGGCATTCTGTTGATAAGATAGGCAGCCGCTAGAATTGCATCCCCCAAAAGGTTCTGGTAGATCCATGGTGAACATAAGAGATCTTGCTACTTCTAACAGATGCCTATTTTTTCTTTCAGCAACCCCTTTTTGTGCACTAGTGTAAGAACAGCTAGTATGATGGACTATCCTATTGGACGCCAAATAAACACTAAATCGTTTTACTATGTATTTTTTGCTATTGTCAGTTCTCAAAATTTTTATTTTGGCATCAAACTGAGTATAAATCATCTTATGAAATGACTGAAAACAAGAGAAAAAATCACTTTTGGCTTTTAACAAATATAGCCAAATCATCCTAGTGCAGCAATCAATGAAAGTAACAAACCATCGACTACCAGACAAGGAAACAGTTTGGGTAGGACCCCATACATCAGAATATACAGGCATAAATGGAGTAGTGCTTCTATTATCACTCATAGGATAAGAGTTTCTAGTATGCTTAGCATATCACACGCATCGCAGAACAAAGATTCAAATCGAATCCTTGAAAACAAACAAAGATTCAAATCGAATCCTTGAAAACAAATCGGGATATAACTTTTACAAAATAAAGAATGATGGGTGTCCTAACCGTCTATGCCGTTGTATTATATTTTGGTTGACATCTTTACTTTTCCCCCAAAAAGGCCTGACCGGAGTTTTCAATTCTATCTAATATACACAAGTCATCACGTAATCTACCACTGCCGATTATTTTCCATGGTTGAAGATCCAAAAAAATACAACGATCGGGAAAGAACTCGATTTTAAAAGTTAGAGCTTTGGTGATGCCACTAATAGATAAAAATTGACAGGGAACTCAGGGACATGGAGCACGAATGATAGTATAATATTAGGAGTACAAACTACAGAACATGTTCCAGAGATAGGTGTTAAAGAACCATTGGCTACTTTAACTTATCTCCTTTGAGATACGGATAATAGTTTTGAATGTCTTTAAAAGAGCATGCCATGTGTCTAGGTGCACCAGAATCAATAATCCAAGAATTAAGGCGAGTAGCAAATGCAGTACCTGATTGCACATGATTGGATGTGACAACATTAGCGAAGTCAAGTTTGGCTAGGAGGTGATGGAGAAGCTCAATTTCATCCAAAAACAAGATTTCTCCAGAAACTATCACCTCGAATGTCTCCATATTTCTGGCCAATCAAAAGAAAATCTGAAGAAAATTGTTCAAAATAATCTGCCTCGCTGGAAACCAAATTTGTCTCGATGGAACCTAACTGTGGTGAACGAAAAAGTTAAAACTAGTAGGGATAGGATAGAAATGTTCCAGCGACCCCAATAGAAAAGAAAATTCTAAAAATAAAATTGACCAGGAGAAGTTTGTGTTGCGGATAGCCACCAAGAGAGAGAAAACTCATCCTCTTTGATAAAACAGAACCCTAGTGCTGGGAGGGAGGTAACTCACCTCAGAAAGGCAGTAACAGCTCTGATACCATGTATAGTTTTAGAAGAAGAAAAGACTTCTCGTAATTTTGTGTGTGTTTACATCTCATGAGCAAGAAATTTATACAAAGCTCCTACTACTAATTAAGGAAATACAATAAATCTATACAATCAATCCAGCTATCAAATCAAATCTCTTGAAATCATGTTAACTAAAAATCTCCTAAATATAATCAAATCTCATTGAATCATGCTAATCAACATTCCAATGTATTGCTTTTCATTCACTCTCTTACTATTCTCATTGGAGTTCCAGAAGACTTAGCCTTTTCCATTCCAAAGGTAGTTCAAAGGTTTAACCAGAGAGATTTTGTTTAGTGTTAAAGTCATTTCTATCTAGTAAAGAGAAGGTTTATTCAGTAATATATATAACCATAAACAGCAACCACAAATAAGAAAAAAAGAGATTTCACTCTTGAATATTCAAGTTATAGCTGACAGGAGCTATCATTGTGGTAGTATACCGAACATCTATAAACATACTTTACACTGATAATATCATCTGCACAAAAATAATAAGCAAGCGCATATTATCTGGACAACACTACTAGTACTGATTAGTAGGTGAGTATCCCCCCCCCCCCTCCCAAAAAAGTCACAATACCTCAAAATGGAAGAATGAAATGGCAGAGAATATGTCTATTAGCCAATATCAGCCGTCATTGCTAGAAGATTAAAACGCCTAATGTTACTCAGCTCAGAAGGGATAAATACTTGTTCTGAGCCTAAACTGAACCCACAATATGGAATTTAATATTAACTGAGATCAGGTCATACAAGATTTGTGGGGAAACTTCCTACGCTCGGACGTAGAACCTAAGACCCAAACTTTCACCAAAGAAATTCAGAAAGAGAAAGCAGAAACAATAATTGGAAAAAAATAACCAAAAGAAACAACAAGGAATTTAATGCAGTTGACTTTCTAAACTCTAAATACATAAATAAACAAACCTCATTTGTCGAGTTCTGCATTAGGTGCCTACAGACAAAGTTCCATTGATTGAAGAGTCCACCTCTACATAATTAAACCAATGCATCCAATTGAGAACTGAAGAACTCATGGGACCATAGTGAGGCACGGGAATAATAGTCAGCATTCAGCAAGTTGCAAAGTCAGAACTTGCTTGTTCATAAATCATATTCCGCTTTATCCTCTTGGATCGGTTGGGTGGAGGAACCAAAAGAAGCCATCTTTTCTGACAAAAGCATAAGGGCCTCCTGTTTATTAGCCAATTCCATAAGTACCTTGATCCTCCTAAAAGAAACATTACTTGGCTTTTGCCCTTTATCCACCATTTGACAGAAACATCGTTCTGCCTTTGCCAATTTTCCCAGATCACAAAGCAAATCAAACAAAACATCAGGGACAAAATATACGAGCCTAATCCTCTCTCCATCATGTCATCTCAAAACTCAAGTGCCATTTCCACCTTATCGTGTCTCCTAATCAACCTGATAAAAAACATACATAACTGTGTACTCGGTAAACACTAAGTCTCCTTCATCCTCTGGTACAACGACCACGAACTTCTCAAATCACTAGCCCAAAAAAATGACCTTAAGAACACATTATAAGTAGTGGCATTGGGGCTCAAGCCATTCATTATCATCTCATCCATCAAACCGTACGCGTCCCCAATTCTCTTCGCAATGCAGAAGTTCCTAATTGCGGCATTATAAGCTGTCATATCTGGATAACATCCATACTCTCTCATATTCTTCAAAACACCCCTCGCCTTATCAGGTTGTCCAACCAACCCCAACCCTCCAATTAAACTCGTATAAGTTATCACATCGGGAGTAATATCCTTCTCTCTCATCTCCTTCACCACCTTAAACGCCTTCTCCATCTCTCTACCTTTGCAATACATATCCACCAAACAATTATACGAAACAACATCCAGTTCAACACCCAAATCCCTCAACTCATCAAAAAATCCATGTGCATCCTCGGATGACTTCCAACCAGACAAAAGTATATTAAAAGTTTGCAAATTTGGCCTAAACTTATACGTCAAGCTATGGTACACATTCATAGCATCACTCATACTCTTCTCCTGGCACAAAGCCCTCAACAATGCATTTAAACAATCAACACCAAACTCTTTCAACAATTTTTTGAAGCCCCAAAAAGCCTCAATAGTTTACCTAACTGAACAAACCTTAGCAACTCTACCCAAAACAACTTGAACTGTTCTTGGGGTTAATAAAGATTGATCTTTTCTCTTCATTTCTACTAAAACCTCCCAAATCTTGTCAAATTTACGACTCCTACCAAGTGTTGATACCCAATTTTTCCCTCATATATTTTAAAATATGCATACACACTTTCAAAATATTGTCCGTGCATTTACAAACATGCACAAGTATTTTTACAATTTTTTCTACAATTTTTAAAGGCCCTAAATCCATTTATTTCTGCATTTTTTAATCACATAAATGTTCAAACTATCCCTCATATTATTTTATGATGATTTAATCATCTAAATTCATCATTTATGTTCATATGAGTGTTCAAATATTTTAATTGCATTTTTTATAATTACATCTGCATTTTTAAGACTTTAATTGCATATTTTGCAAAAAATAACCCCTACATATGCATAACTACGTTATCTATACAAAAAATGGCTTTTTATATTTTTATAATATTAAGCAATTATTTTAAATCACATTCAGGTATGAAAATCATTTTTTTATCAATTAATTAGCTATTTTTAAATTATTTTGTTTAGTAAAAATGGGTATTTAACAAATAGCCCCTAATTTATACCCAAAATCGCATCCCCCAATCCAATTCAATTAAAAACCAGCCCAAATCTACCCAGCCCAAACCCTAAAGACTCCTACCCGGCGCCAAACCCCTCAAATCTTGGCCGTTGATTACAGAGATCAACGCCCACCATTCATTCTTTTCTTTTTTATTCCAAATGACCCCAAACCCTAATCATTCTTCGTACACCAGCCGCCCTTGAATCCCCTCTTCTCCGGTTCTGTTTGAGACCAACCCTAACCCTAATCGCCGCCACCTAAACCTATCCCTAATCCTTTCGATTCTTACATGTTCCATGGGATTCCATGGTTGTTTCAGACCTCTACTGGTCTGCTACCTCTTCTGGTTGTTCGATTTTGCTATCTCATGAAAGAGATCTCAAAGAGATCTAGCCCAAATCTTGTTCGAGACTCTTTAAGAGTCTGCCTATGGTCACCTCCATTTGTGAGTGCTATTATCTTGAGTTTTATGGTTTGAATCTTTGGTTCAAAACCAGATTCTCTTTACTCCATCCCTTTTCCTTAAAACCCCAATCTTTTAGACATGAATCTGTCCAGATCTTTGTAGATCTGGAGTGATTCTGAGTTTGTCAGTGATTTTTCTTTAAAGATCTCTTATTTCTTTACTGTTAATCGACTCTAAATGTTTTTCAAAATGAGGGTTTCACTTTGTCTGTTTTTGCAAAAGGCTTTTCTGAAATTCCTTATGTGTTTGATTAATCTTTCTTTAATGACTGTGTTCCAGTCTTAGTTGTTTGATTGTTCGTTGTTCACCTTCAACATTTTGCCCATTATTTTTTGAATAGTTGATTGACTGACTCAACTGTCTTAAGGTTTCATGTTTTGCTGAGATGATTTACCGTATTTTGCATGCTTTCCTTAATTTTGAGATTCCTAATTGACATTCCTTGCCTATTAAGCTTAAATTAGGGGGTGTTTGACCCCAGATTGGTCTCTAATTACTTATGTTACCTTATTTGTGTGGTTAATTGCTTGATTTATGGTGTTCTGACCCTAATTGATTTTCAAACTCACTTCTTGCCTTAATTGAAACTCAACCCAAGTTATTTTTGGGTATAACTCCCTTATTTTCTGCCCTGTCAAGCTTGATTGATTGTTTGATTGATTTCCTTGCCTTATTTGCAATGTTGAACCACCTTGCCTTATTTACTTTACACTACTCGACTCCTATAAATACATGACTTTGTTCAAACACACACACACACAAAGAACTAACAAAAAACACCTCTAAAAATTCTTGCTCTCTATTACTATTTGTCTATTGCACTGTCTAGCCGGCTGAAAGCCAAGGCTAGATCTTGGATCCTATTTACTTCACTCTCCTACTGCAAATTCCTAACTGGTATGCCTCACTTTATTATTATTATTCGGACATCTGTATGACTTAGTTTATGTACTTCCTGCTCAACATGATCACTTGCATGTTAATAAATCAGTATGCTTCTTGTTCTCAACATACCTATTTTCATGTCATTGAATCAGTGTGTTTCCCTGATATTAGCATGCCTGCTCTTAACTAAGACCTATGTGGTTTTTCTCTGCCTTCAATATGTCTACATTGTCTGTTTCCAAGACTTGTGTGTTTCCTGTTCCTAACATGTCAGTATGTTTCCTTGATATTAGTATGCCTATTTCTAAGACCTATGTGCTATAATCACCATGCTTACTTACATATGTTTAAACCTAGAAGGTCCTGTTTTCAGCATGTCAACCTGCTTGTTTCTATTCATTAGACCTATGATTGCTGTCCTGTTATAGATGTTCATCCTTAATAAACCCCTGATTAAATCATGGTATCTATGCCCTCAACTTGCTTGCCTTTATGTGTGACTGTTTGATCTAACATACTACCCTATGATTGGGTACAAGGCTGTATGTTCACTTAGTATTAGTTAATGGACCAAGACCATAAGAAACCTTTGTCGAATCAATGAATCTTGTATGTTGTTGATTGAGTTCAAGGCTGAAACTCCTTCTGTTGACCCTGGGCAATGTGAATTCTTTCTTTGTGACTATGTTGTTGTTCTCAGAATGCTTTTGATTGTTGTTTTCAGTCCTGAACTGTTTTACTCCTTAAATGTTTCCACTTCTCAGTTGTTTTCCCTATGGAACCTCTAAACTATTTTACTCCTAAGTTATTTTCCTTAAACTGTCACTATTCTTTAAAAGCACTCTCACTCATATTCTTAGAATACCTAGGGTCCTGCCCCTCCAGTGTGAGCACTGCTTAGGAGTCCATGAGACTCCTCTGAACTCTGACATACTGGGGTTGGCCATTCTACACTGCACAAATCTGTTGCTCTTTAAGGAGGATCTTGGTATGAGCATTGCCCGGGGTCACTGAGGCCCTTGGAAACTTTGACACATTAGAATATCCTCTCTCGCACACTATGGGATATGGTGTTTTGGACTGTTTGAAGGCCTGGTTTTTCAGGCTTACTTTGGACCTATCCAGGCTCCCTATAGTATAGTATCATTTATTTCTATAATTCATTTATGATTGGTTTGTAATAGTAATTTCCTTGTAAATAGATATTGGGATATTAGTAAAACTGGGAGGGATTCTTATATATATATTTTGTTGGGAACGGGTAGATACCATGCCTATATTGTTTAATCAGTTCCTACACTTAGAAACCATGCCTTAAGGTATTGTGACGTTTGTCTGATTATGTGTATTTAGATACCATGCCTATAGGTGCTAAAGTTGAACCTGCATTTTAGATACCATGCCTATAAGTTTTAAATCAATTTCTGCACTTAGAATTCATGCTAATAGGATTTCAGCATATTTAGCACTTAGAAACCATACCTATAGGGTTTAAATTCAATCTTGCATTCTAGACACCATGCCTGTAATTTTAAAATCAGTCTTTGCATGCCAACAAGGTTTAAATCAGTTTTCTGCGTGCAAATAAGGTTTTAAAACTAATTGTTGCATTTAGATGCCATGCCTATAAGATTTTAGAACCAATTTATGCATTTAGCTACCATTGTCTATAAGTTTAAAATCAGTCTCTACACCTAGATAGCATGCCTATAGGATCTAATGAACCAAACTGCCTGCTTAAAATTATTTACTGGTTTATTGTACTTCTAATTAATGACTAGATACTATGTTCATAGGACATCACTGATACACTCCTAGGCAAGCCTGTAGGGCGACTAAAATCCTGCAAACTATAAAACTTTGCTTTTGTTATTTGTGAATTGTCCAGATTCAGCAAGCCCTAAAATCAATAGGCAAACTGATTAGGTCTCTATTGCTTCGCTTTAACACAATGCTGCATATATTCTATTTGCTCACCTAGATATCCTGCTCTAGGACCTTTTGAAATATCTGAAATCTTGTTGTTTGAGACGTGCTATTGTCTGCTTGTGTGAGGAGGTAAAAGTGAGCCTTTAATTGCCCCTTTATATGAATGTCCTATTTGTCTTTGCTTGTCGCTTAGATTTTCTCCTTTTAAACACCTTAGGAGAGTCTAGAACTGCCTTAATTAGAGGTCATAAACACCTCTAGGGCCATAAGGAAGGGACGGGTAATGCACGCATAGAATACGTTTAATTAGAATCGCTTATGTAACCACTAAGGGGAAGGTAATCGGGTAGTAAAGGATATGATGACCTGTGCGCTAATATGTGTAGCACTCCAACTTGGGAACGATTACCAAGCATTGTACAGAAGTGATCCTGTAGGCTAAAAAACATAGGACCCCTCTTTACTCCTTGTTTTAAATATAATATCAATTTGTCTAATTTGCTTTATCTATTTATAAGACTAGTTCACATAATTTGAGTTCAGCTGGGACCCACCGTTGTGGACTGCGGGGTGCCTAACACCTTTCCCTCAAGGTTATTTCGAGCTCTTACCCAATCTCGGTAATGCAAACCGGTTTTATGAGTTACTTGCTTTAGGTGCCCTAACGCACCTTAAATCTGTTAGGTGGCAACTCTTCAAATTTCATACCCAATTCCCAAAAGGAAATGAGTTTTTCCCGATGAATGTCGAAACCCGGACTCCGCGAGGAAGAAGGGGGTGCGACACCAAGTACATACAACATGGTGTCTAAAGAAAAACCAGTATGGTAAAACCCTTTACGCTTAGCTGCAAATTTAAAGAACTCTAAAGCTTGTAATGTGTTTGAGTGAGAAAAGCGTACCCTTTTGAGAAGTCTATCAATTAAGTCGTTTGATAAGTGGATTTGTGATGATTTGAGTGATTGTTTTAGTTCCTCTGGTGTTTGTATTATTGTTATGATGCTCTAAAGGGTTTCAACTTCTTTGTCAGTGGAAAGGGAGGATTGAGGATGGGGAAGGTAGAGGGAAGAAGGAAGAAAATGGCTATTTGTTTGAGGGGCAATAGAGAGTTGTTTGTAGGAGAAAATTTGAGCCATTGTTGAAAGTATGGAGCGTTCAAGTTTGCTGATTTCTTAGCTAA